GTCCTGTGCATCCTACTCCATTTGTCGCTTTCGTGTAATTATATGTTGATAAAGAAGTATGGATGCGCTCTTGGAGAATTTAATAGAGCAACGTGAGCTGTAGAATATTGTGGAGTAGGCGTTGCAAAGCGCCTAGTGCTCTGGGATTTTCTCGGAATACCATGCCTTCTTGAATTTAAATCAGCAATGTGACCCTGGCTCTTGGGGAACAAAGAACGGGACTCCAATGGGGGGAAACTGCCCATCCAAGGGAAAATGCTTCTTGTTTTGGTTCTTGGTAAATAGTTGTACAACTAACCTCGGACCTCAAAAACGCAAAAAGGACAGTCATGGGACCTTAGGCAATGCATCAAGGTCAGCGTCCTGCAGGTGAGCGCAGGTTTGCGACTGCGGCAACAAGTGCCCGGAGCCCCAAAGAGATGATCGACAGGGTGAGAAGGAGATTGAGAACCTTCAAGGGTTTAGGGCTTAGGGCTTAGGGTTTAGGTTCAAACCAGCAATTTAGGTGTGGGTGCCTGCGTCAAATTGCAGTACGCGGGACCTCTGCTACAGTCAAAGGCAAGTTTTAGCAAATAATTTGCTCTCTCAGAGAAGGATACACTAGAATCCTGGTATAGGGACTCCCAACAAAGGGAACCGAAGGGAAAAGTGGGTTATCTTGGAAAGACCGGGGTTTCACATGGAACTTGGTAACTCTACCTGCGGCTGAAACCCAATCTCAGCTGGGTTGGCTGTTGCGAGAGTGCTGCTCTATCATAATCATTGGTCATCGAACAGTGCAGCACGGCGCGAAGCTCTAGAACCGCTCACTTGGCTTCCTGATCCTGCTTGCCTGGAGATCATAGATGATACATGGTAGTTTCCCAAAACAAGGGGACCCAAATAATTATAGACCCCAATATACTATAATCCTTATTATAGGGACCCCAAAAAGGTAATGAGACATAGCTTCTAGTTGAATTTGCTTGCTGTCGACCCCAACCACTGAAGCCTAGGCTTGCAAAGCCCTCACGGAACCCGCTGGGCTTGGACCCAGAATCCTACACCCAAGGCCTAAGCGCAAAGTGGCTTCCCCATGTAAAGTGGGTGCCTTATCCGCACCAGTGTCTGCACCTGCCAACAACGAGAAATGACAAGGTTGGGTATATCAGACTTACGAGAGATCTGGGCTTGTGTTTTGGTACTATCACATATTATACCCTGAACCCTAAACCCCATGAAGTTAGGGTTTTGCATGCTACAAGCAGGAAAGTAGAATTGAATATCCTACTGTGCGCACACCAGTTTCGCAAACGTATAAGCTCCAGTCTAGAGCAAGGATGCTGGTAGGCCCATGTTGCGAAGTTGCCTCACAATCACTCTTTGACATGAGTCAATGATGCCTGAATGTGTGCAAAGAAGCATTCCAAAAAATCACGATTTGAAATTGAATTGGAGGGTTGGCAGGCTGAACTGGAATCCCAGAGAAGACCAGCCAAGCAGAAACAGATATGCTCCTCATCAGGCGTAAACATATTATGCATTTGAAGCCTTCCCTCATGACCAGCTCAGTGCACTTTCTAAGACAAAGCGCATGGCACACATATCATACACATCTACATCTGAGCATACCTGGAGCACCAACTCTAAATCAATTGCGCATATGCATACAGGTCTGTGAAGGAAACTAAAGCATCCCTTTCACCTGCACAATGTAGGAATCCCAAAAAGACACATAGCTACGATAAACACCCAAACGATCTTCCACAACTCATGCGCAAAGTCGAATTGAAGCTGACCCATACCCTAAATCCTGAAGGCTGATGACTGTCTGGGTACGGGCATGTCTCAAGACTATCCCCCCCCCTTATGCTCCCCAAAAAGGACCCCAACCCTAAACCCTAAACCCTCCATAATCCCTGGTTTCAGAAACTCCCGGATGGCCTTGTGAGAGCTTGCTCTCCAGCTGCTTGGCCTCCTTCGCCCACAGCTCTGAAAGCCCCATGGCACGGCCGAAACATGAAATTGTTCGCAGAGGAACTGATTGGAATTTCGAGCCGTTATGGCTGGCTGATGTAATGGGGATGTAAATCCGACACCTCCAATACCTGGAACTCAAGGGTTGAGGGGGTTGAGGCTTAAGAGCTTAAGCAAGTAGGTAAAACAATGGCCCAATTGCCTGAAGAAGTTGGCAACAAATGCAATTTTTCATTTTCTGCATAATTACTCTGGGGTCCAGGCATTCCATTGCTTGTGCAGCGAACGATGCATTCGCACACAGTTTTTATACACGAAGGTGGAAGCTTCTGCCCGCTTCACGCTTCAATTGCGGCGGTCTAGCTCTATAGTCCCCCTTAGGTAGATAGAACATGGCTTTGGGTATATTATGATAAGGTCCCCATATTCTATCTACTTCAGGGGGGACTATACCATCGGCTGCGCGGTTTCGGCAGCAAGGCTCCTGGATGCAAACAGCACGACTTAAGGTGTAGGAGTGGTATTTCGGGGCTAGAGGTTTAGGCTGTGAGGTTAGGATTACGGGTTGTATATATTGGGGCAGTAAGCTAGAAGTATTTGATACTGACTGTGGAAAAATAGGTATCCTAGTATGCGGTTTAGGATTTAATAAGGGTCTGGGGTTATATTGGGGTCATATTGAGGTTGGCTTGTGGGGTTAGGATTAAGAGCTTAGGTTCAGGGCGAGCAGCAAACAGGGCCCCATTTCATTGGCACTTCCGCGACATGTCCCGCAAGTCCTGCCAGACCAGCCCCTGAATGTCCAACTCAGCTCAAACCCTGGGGAAAATGCGTGCTTAGCAGGTCCTCATAGGATTCTGGGCCAAGGCTTGTCAATCTGACTGCATTCATGTCAGTAGCCTGAATTGCAAGGCTAGGTCTATATCATGTCAGTCATGATACTGCGCCAAGAAAACCCCTTACTTCAAAACGTCTCAAGTGCCTGCAACCTGGATCGTAGCGGCGTGCCTAATTCCATCAGCTGCGGGGCCTCTGCGATCAGTAGATGCCGGGGGCTTATAGGGTTTAGGGGTGACGGTGTCGCTGAGATAAGCCGACGATAGGGGTGGAGCTGATTCTGTTTCCTTGTGAATTCCTGTATGCATACCTGTTTGCAACTATTGTTGCACCCTTCATACAACAATCCACAGGGCCTGAAGTCCTCCTTTCCTGTGGGCGCGGAGATCTTCAAGAAACTGAACGAAACAAACCCGAAGGCTCGATCAAATTCCGGAAGGAGAAATCGGCTAGCAGTTGCGGCATCTTCTCAGGAGAAGTTCTCAACTCAAAGCCGGTCAACAACTACGGGTTTAGGGTTTAGGGCGTTCATTTAAGCTGCGACATACAGCAACAGCAGCACACACATTTTCTAGGAAGCAGTCCAAAAGCCCTCAGGGATCACGCTTCATGCAGCTTTCCCCTGGCTTAAAATGTACAGCAAACTTCAAAGCCTACGCAGGTGCTCCAACAGTTGACCTATATCCTGCTCAAAGAAGCATCTTTTGGGTTATTCCCCCTTACAGTAACTGTTACCACAATGGGTTATAGGAGTTCTAAGAACCCCCTTAATAAGGCCCCTTTAAGGACAGGTACTGGGACGGGGAATGACCCAAAGCAACTTCTGCAAAAAGCAACATCCCAACAAAAAACGCTTGGCACAGAATTACGGCCTCTGTTTGAAGAAGTCCTCTTGGTGACGATGCTGCAGTGAACAAGGACTTACCAAGCCTGCTTCCTTTCTAGACAGCAAGCTATAGCTTTCGGGGGGGGGGGGGTAGTAGGGAATATAGGAATGCATGTTGGTTTTTTTTGGTTTACATGTATAATCCTACAACGACATGAACGAGGTGGTTGGCAAAGCGCAAGAAGTACGCTGCCTTCCAGTTCTTCGCTGAACGAGAAAACTCTATTTGGGATCCTCATAAAGAGGCTTTTCAGCCCTACGAGGCGAATCTTGAAGCTTTGAACTATACAGAATTCTCAACACCTCATCTTGGATCTGATGCATTTTTTGCTTTCACAGACACAGTCAGGCTGTGCCCAGGCAGACTGCGAGGTTCAGGGGGCTGCCCAATCCCTGCCCAGGGACTGCACCAGACCCTCAGCCAATGCCAAGCCCAAAACCATTCACTAACAACAAGGGTTTAGGGTTTAGGGTCTATGGGGCCCTGAACCCTAAACCCTAAATTTCCCGCTGAAATCCTCCCGCCTCTGTTGCCATTGTCCGTGTTATTCACCATATGCGGAGAGAATGACCATGCAAGCTAGACAACGTACCGGCTACAGCGCTTTGACATGTGTGAGCTTGCTCGGCATGTCAAAGTTAAGGTTGCGGGCACGGTCGGTGCGAGACACGTCACCATGCGTGATAAGCAGTGCAAGCTGCAACAGGCCTCAAGAGACAATCGCTGTTGAGTGCGCGCTACTACAAACCCCTGAGATCCGAAAAGGCAAGTCGCATGAGGGTTTGCAACTTCAATCTGCAGAGCCTGCGGCTGGTCTATAACGCAGCATTGGCTTGCTTGAATGGAGGTGGTAGACATTTAGCCGCAAGATAGGCATTGGTCGTAAGCGTCATTTTGACGGCAAACCCTGAGCTGTCCTTGCAGGATTCCACCTTCCCCCCCTGCTCACACAGCCCAACAGCCCTTGAGTAAGGGATCCGTCTTGAATCATGTTGGGGATCCTTGTGTCATTTAGCGTGTTACCTAACTAAGTGGCATTGGGCTCTCTACATACAGTAGCTCACCGCATCTCCAGGATTGCTTCCAGAACGCAACTTGCCAAACAATCTCGCCCAACATAGAAGATTATGGATTACAGAAGACGACAGCATGTAGAGTTCCACAAAATAACAGGCCCCCCCAAAGGGCCTTTCAAGAACCATATCGGGGAATGGAAGTGAACATAGAAACTATTACAATGACATTTAAAGTGAACATCTGGCAAAGCTTGATGGTAGACGAGCAAGCGGTGTCATTTCCTCGCTCAAGTGCGCCAGGAAATCAGAATGGAAATCTGAAATTACTTGCATTGCATGAGCCAGCGCTCTCTTGCTGGGACTTCTTGCCGCCGATGGCGTCTTCGATGCGGTCCGCGTAGTCCAGGAAGAGCAGATCTTTGCGTGATCCCGGGCACCTCATGTCGGCGGCAGGGCGGCTGAGGGTTTGGGATTTAGGTATGGTATAGGATTCTGGCTCAGGGTTCGGTCCTTGGGGCTCTTGGCTTATAGATTTTCGGTCTAAGGCCTTGTAGGCTTAGATTACTAAGGTTATCAAGACGGTCGAGATGATAGGATCCCCCAATCTCGGAAATACAAGGCCACCCTATATTTTTCGCACACCCGCTCCAAAAGTAACTACAAATAGAATGGAAGACCTACCCAACCCCGACCAGGCCTGGTAGGACCTCAGCAGATGACATACGGTGCAGGCAAGCTCCGGTAGCCAAATGCCGAACCCAACCTCCTTAGCCCAAACCCTAAACTCCACTTGTGTAACCTAATGCCCTACACATGTTCACACACTCATAATAGAATCAACATATACAAGGTACACAACCCCTGTCTCAAGGCGTATTGCTAACTCCAGGGTAATAAGCCAGTCCATTCCAAAAACGCACACACGCACACACCTAACTCTGAGGCCAAAAACGCATACCCTAACTCCAAATCCATAAACTACGACGAAACGCTGAAGGCATAACACACATACCCTTACACCCAAATCCATAAAACGCGAAGCAGAGCAACAAACATCCACTGTAGCCCTCAATCCAGAAAATGTACCTAAACCGTGAAGTCACAAAACACACGAATTAACCCTCAAGTCCAAAATTAATCAGGATCCAGGTGCAGCAGGACACCGTGGCGGACCTGAGTTGCGCTTAAGGAACTTGAAATAAGTCACCTGAGTAAAATGGATATGCAGCGAAGCTCGAGTTAAGTCACCAGGAGAAGGAGAAAACTAAATGTCGACTTAAGTTGCCAGAATATGTGCATATATGTTTCAATAGCATATGTGGTACAAAACCAGGTTTCCTTATTAAAGCAAGTTGATGTCAGCTCCTGGAGAACCCCAGTTTCCATTTCACTTTTCCCAACTTATTATCCATTCAGTTCTGCAAATTGTGGTAACTTAATTCAAGCGTCTTCCCGAAGGCTATGGGACCCTCAGAGTGAGATCCCAAACCTGAGCCCCCAGAGCCCAGACCTGCTCAAAGCAAGCCGAGGCTAGTCCCGAGAGCCTCACTTGGAGGATTAGGGTTTAGGGTTTAGGGTTTAGGGTTTAGGGTGAGTAAGTAGGTTGATAATGGAAAATGCAAGCTACCATAGGATTTAGGGTTGAGGGTTCAGGCTCAGGGGAACTTAGTATGCAGGGTAAGAAGGGGGATAATTAGGGTTACTAGGGGCCATTAACCTACTTACTAAGTTCCCCTGACCCTCCAAGTATAGACCCCATAAACCCAAAACTCTAAACCTTAAACCCAAAAACCCTAAACCTTACACCCTAAGACCCTAAACCTTAAACCCTAAAACCCTAAACCTTAAACCCTAAAACCCGAAACCCTAAGCCCTGAAGGGTAACAGCAGCCCAGCAACTGCGGTGATGGTGTTGAAGGTGGCTCCCTCAGAGCTTGGGCGGATCGGGATGCCCCAAGTGCTCCTCTGCACAGACATGGGGGTTTCCCAAAATTGGGGGTACCTTTTTGGGGGTCCCAATATTAAGGATTATAGTATTTTGGGGTCTATACTGGGGTCCCCTTTTTTTGGGAAACTACCAGAGCGATTTGGGGTCATAGGTTCAAGGTTTAGGGTTTCAGCATGTAGGGTTTAGCGCTTTCAGCGTTTGGGGCTCCCCAAATAATGTACTCTTTGTCATCTATAAGCAGAGGTATATCATGGGGTTTCCACTTTCTTGGATTCCATCTTCTTGACTAAGGGGGATCTCCCAAAAGCCTGGGGAGTTTGTGTTTGAAGGGCTTGAGTTTCCTTGGGGCTTAGGGTGTCTAAGGTCTAGGCGCGACTAGGGTCCAGGTTCTGAACAGAGTAGGTACTATACTTCTGCTATCTTCTGCTCTGAGTTTAAGGTACATCTAACCAGGCAGATGTATTGCTGCCGAGTTTGTCTGCTTTCGAGTTTTTCCAACTGCCACAAGTTGTGAAGGACTTTGCTGATATAATGGGAGGCCGGGAGTCGTGACGTTAGCATGCAGTGACATGCAATACTCAATCAAGATCAACCTTGATGGTGCTTTGTTGAAAGTCCATGATACGCAAAAGGCTTAGACGACAACCTGAAACTACCATATCAGGAAGATTCCGGGCTGATCCCCATATCCTCTGCATACATACAGCTTTCACTACCTGATAAGGTAAGTCGTGTGTCTACAGAAATCGACTCCCTTGCCAGGCTGGTGCCACGGAGGCTACCTTCAGCCTGGGTTGTCCAATTCTGCTGTAGGACTGTGATAATGAATTTCTGCATGAACCATTGGCACCCTTCATGATCAGAGTAGGTCCAGAGGCGGAGTGCATCAAGATGGGGAATAACAATGAGATGATGCTGTTGATGATAAATCTGGCCTTGGCTTGGTATTGCTGTTGATATTATAGGGGTTGGACGGCTAGGATGATCCTGTGCTTCAAGTTCGTGTTACTGCTATATGGTACCAGCTTTCCCGCCGTCAAGCGTCCCGCTGCTAGGGTCTACCACGAGGATGGCAGCTGCGCGCACCGGTGCTGAGAAGATGAAGCCGCCTGCGCGTGGAATTGTGATACAAGGTAATGGATTCCAGCTTTCGAGCTTGAGGTTTCCTGCCTCAAGGTTCAGAAATGTCCACAACCATGCGTGAAAAAAGGAGTGCAAACGGCGCTGCTGCGCAGGCATGGCTGATCTAACAACAGCATGTGGCTGCGGCCTTGCTCGGCCATGCCATTCCATTTTTGTTGGCCTGAATCCACGTTGCCTCAACTCCCAACAATGCTCCAATATTTGCATGGGGCCGCCAGGAGATGTGAGTTGGGCTGAATGCATTGGAAAGCTCAAGCCGCAGACCATGGGGCAAGCTACTTCGCTTGAAGTACCATCCCAGATCCGCATACGCTTTTAGCCCCTTAAATGAAGATGTCTCTGGTGTGCTTCTAACAGCAATTCTACCATGACAGAGGTACACGATCATCAACACATCCCTGTGCATCTTCCGGGCCCCGGATCTGCTCAAGGTGTTTTTTTCAAAGGGGCGGTGAGTCCGCTTTCTCCCCCAAATTGCTGTAACCTGATTATCATAGAGGCCGCGGAAAATACTCAACCCTCATTTTCGGGGCATCCCCCAACATGCCGGCAGGAAACTTACTTCGATGGAGGGCTCCAGCTTGGGGCTGTTGACGTCCACCACTAACCTTCGCAAAGGCTGTCGCTCTACAAACCCTTCATTGTTTTGGCTTCTTCCTCCTGAACCCCTGTTTCTTGGCTTCCGTGAGGATGTCTGAGGTCTGCATGGGTACAGCGCTTCCAGCATTCAAGTTTGTGCAGGATTTCGAAAGGGAGGGACCCCACCATTTTGAAAGCCGATTTCTGAAGTAGCGGGCCAAACTGCCACGGCAAGCTGAAACGTACGCAGAGGGTTCAAGGATTCAGGTTGCCTTCTCGGGGTTCCTATAACAAGGACTATAAACCTTCAGGGTGCTGTTTGAAGGTGACCACCAAGTCTGGAAATCCGGAAAATGTCATTTGGGCTCGTGTGAAAACCCCATGGCCACTCTGCCTATCCTATTTTAAACCTTATCGTTGTTTTTATTGGTTATTGTTTACAGGGGAACTGTCTAATACTTCCGGAATTGTAAACCTTATCATTTTGTGTATTGGTTATCGCTTTGCAA